ACAATAGTTGGGTCTCTTTCTTTGGAGTAAGTCTAAAGTGTTGATTCTTTCCAAGAAAATTTCCCAACAAAAAAAACCCCACCCGAGGAGGAATAGGTCTGCTCCAAATTTCCTTAACTGGAAATTTTGTTTTGGGCAGTTCACTTCTGGCTTTTGGGCACAAGTTTATTGAGCCTCTCATGTTTTTGTTCAGGGGTCACCTTTCACATTAGTAGGTGACAGTTGTACTTCTGGTTTTTTAGCTAATGAAAGTTGCCATTTCCTATCAAAAAAAGCAGACTTAATAAATTAAACACGTTAAAGTAACTATCCAGATGAGACAAAACATTCAGCTTACAGTAGAAGTTTGACCCACAATATAACTATTATTGTTATCCAATAAAGAAGATTACAATAGAACAAGAGAGGTAGATATTATACATATGCACGATTAACTTCGGTATTTCGATCAATAGGCACCCTCTCCGGAGTCCAACAACAATTTTTAGATTCACAAAACTATTTCTGGATTAAGGGTAAATGTCAATTTACCAGGATGAAATAAAACTAATGGGTCTAAACATGCCAAAACTTGGCAACTAGCAAGGCAACTGCTTGTAACGTTCTGATGGATACACCAACCTAAAATCAACTACAAAATATTGGCCCTTAACATTCTTAGACAAGGTTTCATTCCAAGTCATTAAATTCCTTTGTTTTTAAGATATTTTTATAGGATTTCTATGGTTTAACTAAGGCTGTCAATGGACTCCGAAAATTGAATATCCAATTTGACTCCATATCTGATTATGCAAGATTTAGATGTTAAAAGTTGCATCTAATTAATAATCGGATAAGATGCGGATTTAACCCCATCCAATCCAATTAAAAATCCGAGTCCATTAAAAAATTACTATATATATATATAATAATTATGTAATCAACATCATCATCCATGCCTTATCCCAACTATATGGGGTACATGAATCCTGCTTCGCCAATCCTTCTATTCAACACCATATCCACTGTTGAATTATTAGTGCTTAAATCATTTATTACAACTTCTACCCATGTTCTTTTTGGTCTACCCTGAGCTCGTCTAGCCCCTTCTATGTGTAATAAATAACTTCTCCCAACTGGCGTAGTTGGTGCTCTTCTATGAACATGCCCAAACCATCTCTCTCTCTCTCTCATTTTATCACCTATTGGAGCTACTCCTATGTTCCTACTGATAACTTCATTCCTAATCTTTTTTTTATCAATACTTCATTCCTAATCCTTATGTTTATCAATACTTCATTTTTTTTATCAATACTTCATTCCTAATCCTTTTTTTTATCAATACTTATTTCCTAATCCTATCCTTTCTAGTTTTCTCAATCATCCATATTAGCATTCACATTTTTGCCACATTCATTTTCTAGACATGTTGTTTCTTGACTGCCCAACACTCTGCACCATGCAAGTACAACATAACTGGCCTTAAAACTGTATGTATACATATTATACATAATTATATAAAGTTTATAAATGATAAATTTAATATTTTATATTTGTGCACATTTTTATACATGTGTAAGTTAAAAACAATTAGTTTTTTAAAACTTTATTTTGTCATTTTAAACACAATATGGTGGATGCAGATTAAATCCAGACCTGACCTGAAATTTGAAATGCCAGACTCAGATTGGATCCAGATCCACGATTTTGAAAATCAGGTTGGATGCGGATTTAGCTGGACCAATCTGTTTACAGCCCTAAGTTTGACATTTATTTGTCATCCACCTCGCCGCATTTGTCAAGGATGGTAGACTTCAAGAATCAGGTCCAAACTACCCCCATTTGCCCTAAGTTTGGCTAGACCATCAGCCAATCTGTTTGCAGATTTAGATCTAAATCTCCACACCCCAGTCTTATCACCTATCAACCAATCTATAACCTCCTTGGAACCACCTTCTATTAAAATATTCCTGAAGTTAGCTTGTTTATCACCTTCTTTCGTTTAACCCTTTTTGTTTTTTTTTTTTTTTTGAACTCTTTTTTCTCACTTAGACACAGTAAGCGGTTTTGTTTTATCAATGTCATCAAATAGGACCAGACATTGAGCATGGTGTTGGAAAGTTCCAATTTTCCCAGTTTAACTCAGGATTTACCTGGTTCAAACCATCAAAACCACCCAATATCCAGGAACTTGGCACTATCTCGTTTCCTATTTTTCCAGATAAATTGTTTGGTCAAGTACAATTTTTCAAAACACTACTCTTCTGCAAATACCCATCACAACACAAAAACAAAAAAAAAACGGCCAAGTGAAGTGGATCCTAATGCTAAGGCAACTCTGTAACAATACTACCTCAAATATTTACACCAGGAAAAAAAAAATAGATGTCATTAAAATTTTAATAGCAATTGTGCTTGAATATACTGACTGCATGGAAGCCTACAGTATAAAAGATTTAAAGATGATATTAATTTTTGCAAATTGGTCTAGACCATGCAACCATTAAAAGAAATAGAGATCATTTGACTGAGACTGCTTTTGGGAGATTTTCTTTTTCCTTTTTTGTTTTTTTTTTTTGCCTAAACAGGATTCTGACAAGCTATTTTTGAAACAAGCTTTTAAAAAAAAAGTTCTTTCTTTGTGTTTGGCTGATCACCAGCTTTTTCATTCACAATAACTTCTTGCAAACATGAAGAAATAAATATAAATTTTTTCACGTTTTCAAATGGGATTTTTTCATGCAACACCAAACAATTTTTTTACTGGTTTTTGGCTTCCCTAACATGAAAAGGCGCAAAAAAGACAGTTAGAAAAGCACTCCCAAATGCGACCTGACTCTTTTCCATTACCAGAGCAAAAAAGTATCAACACCCTGGTACAAATTCTACTTTTCGGCAAACTGAATCTAGAAAAACTTATGGCAACTTAACAACATATAATTCTAATAGTAACCTTGCCAAGTCCCTCCAAATGTAAATAATTCAGTGCTTAAATACATTGATGTTCATAGTAACCTAATTGAATATCAGAAGTGAACTCAAACATTGTAATATGCCTAATAACAACAAATAACTTGATAAAGTATAACTGATCCTTAACCTAATGGCACTAGTTACTAACTCTTCTTTTAGAAATTCCCTTATTACTTTATTCTAAAGCACAAGGTGTCTTTTTGGTATAAGCCTAGTGCCATAAATCTGAAGAAATAGCAAAAGCCCCTTTGAAGTTCCAAGTTTTAAGTCAATATACCCATAGCACAGTCCTGTTGTCTGATTACATTTTTCACTCTTAAAGATATATCATCATAATTGAGTGAACATGAGAGATGGGATGATAATTAAAAAAGATGTAAATTAGAAATCAGAATCTTACTCATATGGAAAAGTTCATCATCAAGGTGATATGCTCCACTTGAAGAAACCTTACGACAGTGGAAGCCATTCGATTCAAACATGTCATGACAGGCTTTCTGATAACGCTTAAGGCTTTTTCTTAGAATGTTTTGTGGTTGTTCAGATGATCTGATCTTAAATTATCTCCAAACAACCAGTTGTTACAGGAGTGCACGACTCCATCAAAAGAAAACCAACGAACAACATATTACACCTCTTCAGGAGATCAAATCACAAAATATTTCATTTTCAAAAGAAAGCCTTATTTATGTAATGTATGTAAGATCATCAAAAAATATATCACTGTCTAACGGAACCGTACTGGTTTTGGTTTTTGTAGCACCCAATATGAGTAAATGAACTATTCCTCATCCTCGCTGAACTATTTACTTGTACACTAACCCAATTTTAAGATATGCAGCACCACATAGGATATACTTAAAAAGAAAATTAACAAATTAAAGGAGTATACAAGTACTGCTAACGTCTTTCTAATATATTAAAACAGAAAAAAAAAATCTTTCCTTTAAATGTAAATAAGAACCAAGGAAAATAGAACGACTAAAAACCAATCAGACTAAAGGAAAAAAGTGAACAAAATACCAGAGAAAAATCAAGTTAAGGCCAATCAAACACATACAGTAAGAAGAACAAAGGAAGAGAATGGGAATGAAGAAAAGTACCCACCTCTTTTTCTAGCTTCGAAACCTTCTCGACGAGCGCTAACCGGTCCTTCTTCTCCAGTGACGCCTCGTCCAACAATCCAGCCTCTGAAAACCGTCGCCAGTCATCCATGTCACCACCACCGTCCAACACTGTCACATTATTTCCCCCATTGTCAGCTAATGAACCCAGCGGAGGCGGCGGCCCTTCAAGAAAAGCAACACTTTTTCCCTTTGCAACACTTCCATCTCCGCCTCCGCCATTTCTAGGGTTTGGAACCGACGCCCCACCATTCTTCCGCACGTCACTCCTCGGCGTAAGTGACCAGCCCGACCACACCTTCCTCTGCGGCGTAAACATCAGACACTTCTCCGCTATAAATCTTCCACGAAACCCGCAGTTCCGGATCTTGGGTTCAACTTCATAACCAAGAAATCGAAGGACAACTGAAGAAACCCTAGAGGGTAAGAATTCGCTCCGTTATTGAACCTCCGGAACACTGATTTCACGAATTCTAGATGAAAACGATTAATTAAAGAAGAAAAAAACAAACCCTAGCCGGACGTGAACGGAATTCCCAAATTCCGGCAAGTCGGAGTGCTGAAATCCGAAACTCAAGAAAACGAACCTCTATTTCACGCTTTTCTGCGACCGCAGCCTTTTCCCTTCCCGCTTTGCGCCGATCGCTCGCGTTCTTTCTTTTAATTATCGGGCTTCAAGTTTCCTTTTACTATATTACCCTAAATTTGAATTCTTGACATCGGTGTCACCGAGGCCTTTCTTGTCATTTTTCACCGCTAGCGCTTAGTTTAGAGCTTGCGCTTCGAATGTCGACCTTTTTCGTGACAAAAATGCCCTTAGTCCAAAATTGATCGTGTTTTGTCATGCTTTCTTTTGTCCATACAAGAGGCGGCTCCGGAATCTGGAATCTGGATGACTAGACTGGATACATTTAGATGGTAAATTTGGGATGTGGTTAGGGATGTTTTAGTAAATAAGTTGGAGTAAAGATCGGTATGGAATATACCATGTAGAGAGGAAACGCAACGGTGCTTGTAATTGTAACCCAAACCAAAAATAAAAAGGAAGTTTGCTTCTCGGAACGATGCGATTGCGATTGCGATCCATCATCCATGTGAATTGTGAAGTTAATGATCTGTGACAACTAACAGATTTCATTCTGCCACTGCCACTGCGTGGGCCCCACACCTTTGGTTACGTGATTTCTCAGACTCGAATCGAATGCCCCAAACCCGACGGAGTTAATTAAAAAAAGGGAGAATGACCAATCAGCCCACATCCCCCAAAGTACAGGTGAAATGCATCCTGATCGTGAATTGATGCTAAATTCACGGGCAGGATGTGGTTTATAAGGGGAGAGGGCTAATAACAGGGGGCTGGAATTCAGAATTCTGCATCGTGTGTATTTATCTTAACCGACCCGGTGCCATATTTCCAACGGCAATACCAACCCGCCCAGCCCATGAATAGAAAAATAAATGTCTGTTGCTTTGTTTTCTATGCATGAAATTAACTGATTTGAAGTCAAAAAATTTTCAAATTTTTAAAAACCCCCATTTTACACACCAATGGCCGCTTGTCAATTGACATCAATTCCGAACCGCACCCACTCCAACTGTACTTTGGCCTATAAATTCTAACCCTGTGCTGAACCATCATTCTCCCCAGATTAAATTATATAACAGGTTACATGGAACGATTGACATGAAATTTCTCTATTTATGTTTCTTAAAAAATTAATCAATTTATATAATATCTCAACGAAGTATTTTCTTAGTATCTCAATATGGCTTATATTTAGTTTGATAAAAAATTAAGAGAGATAAACTATAGTTTTAAAAACAACCCAGAGGCCGAATCGATTAGGGGTCTGGACTTCTAGGTCAAACGGTCGGCCCGTTCTAACAAAAAAATTAAAAAAATTAAAAAAACAAAAAATGGTCAAAACCGTTCGAGCGATTAATCGCCTGAGTCAACGTTTACTGACCAAAATCAACGGCTTTGGGCAAATTTCCGGTTTTGGGGAAAATAGAAACCGATCACCTGACCGGTTCCCAGTTTTTCTGGTCCGACCATCCAGTCCAGTCTGATTTTGAAAACCATGAGATAAACAGAAAGTTGAGGCCTAATAAATTTCTCAAGAGATAAGCGGAAAGTTTAGGGGAAATTATTATCAAATTTCACAAATTCCTTAAAAACTTTCCCCTTACTTGTGGTGCCTCTCTTATTTTTCTATCAAACCAAATATGGCTTAAGAACTGCCATTTATCTATCTATTTTTCTCTTAGTTTCTATCAAACACCAAACATAATCTAAGCGAAGCAGATATCTCATTGCATCTAAAACATGACAGAAATAGAAAGCAAAACTGACTTGAGGATACAACCTGATCAAGTCTTTGGCATATATTTGCCTCGACGACAAGAACCCAATGTTGATGAAATTCATCCGACACAAACTCAGCCCTAAACTCTAAGGTTGTCCCAAACCTGATGCAATAAAATTGGATGTTCGACAATATGATTGATTTTGTTTTTTGAAAAGAAACATAAACGATAACGATAATATCGAACATCACTTCAGCAAAGACATTATTGTGTAGGAGAGATGTATTAATTAGCCATAATTAGATAATGTCTAATGTGGACCTGAAGAATTTTTATCTTGGGATTAGTTCATATTGCAAAAGGAGGAATAAAGTGCCAATAGAGAAAAAATAAATGGATATTTTTTACATGGTGGTCTACATGTGAAGCCAAGGCAAGTATGAACGTTATATATAGAAGAAAAATACATACTCGTGTAAAACCAGTAAATAATCCATGCCTTATTTGAGTCCAGGTCAAATTAAAAATCCAACACAATCTCTCAACTTGAATACGTCAACATGCTTATATGATATAATGCTTTGTATTTCTATTCCTACCATATCGTACTAATAGTAGACAAAAAAAAAAAAAAAAAACGATACGAAGTCTGTCTTTGTTTTATTTTATTTTTAGTTATTTTTTTTCCGGGGCAATGGGTTTGATTTCTCTCTCTTTCTGGTGACAAAAAGAGTCTCCCCGCATCATGGTTGAGGCCTTTGCTTCATGTAAACTTCTCTATAAATGGAACACATTTTAACCCAAATTGCCCCACACATATTACTCTTGTTTTCCTTATTAACGGCACATATCTTTCTCTCTCTAAAAAGGAAAAAAGTTGTCATCTTATAGTATAATAAAGTACAAATCATTTTCATTTGGCAAGTTTGGTTCATTTTCATTTGGAACATGGTTACGAGACCGCATTCTCTGTACCCGTGGGTGCACCGGACGAGTGCACCCACCAATCACGTTCGGCCACGTCGAATGAGTCTTGACTGTGTAACAGTAACGTAGATTTGACTGTCAATCGATTCTATTCGGTTCAACCGGACACAAAAAGACAAAAACTTTCATTTTCCTTTCACACAAATTCGAACTCCCACACCTCCAACAGTGAGAAGCTCACCGGCACCCCTATGAATGACAAAGCCATCAGCGGTGAGGGATAAATCATCCAGCCTCTAGTTTGTACGACTTCTTCCTCTCCCTCTTCATCTTCCTCTCTCTCCTCTTCTTCTTGTGTTGGTTGGAAGATTTGAACCCTACCCGTTCGATCTTTCCACTTGCACAGTCGGCGTCTGTGGCAAGAACTCAAATCTTCCAGACACGAAATTACATCACTGAAATTCCTCCTTCTTCCCCGCAAACTTAGCGAAGAAGAGTGAGCACGATTTGGCATTCACCCTATTACTAGTGAAGAAGAATGAGCCATGGGGGAGTCTGCAATGTAAAATGGGCTTGATTGGGAGACTCACCAGAAAAATACAAAGAACTTACTCATTCCTCCTCCTCCATGGACATGGTGTTCAGTGCAGACAGACGTTGTTCGTTCGTCACTGCCACATTTAAACCAAAGTAGAGAAGCGCCAAGTTTCAACCCTCCCCCGTCCTACTGGTCAAATCAAATGAGTATCATGATACCACTACTCACCGAACATCTGTCAACCAACCCACCCCTGTCTCTACGCCCTCTCTCTCTCTCCTCAGCCTCTCTACTGTTATGGCCTATCTCACCGACCCTTTGCATCTCTTGATGCATTTCTCTCATCTTTTGCCCATCTATGCTTCATACATTGGTTGTCGTCACTATCTCTTTCTCTCACGGCGGAATCCGTTTATGTTGATGATGACCTTCGTTTTCACTCGCAGGTGCAAGGGGACCATAGGGACCATAGCTCTATTACCCAAAAATGGATTATATTAAGAATTGGAATTTTAACATTGCTATTTACTACATCAAAAAAGATAATGATATCTTAATAAGAAACTTGCAGTTATAAGTACCCAAATCTTTAAACTTATATAATGACTTAAAAGAGATTATTATGTGCTTGTTTTTTAAATATTGCTTCAGCAAAGTATCTCATATAAAAGAGTGCAATCATATAGTGATAATTTTGAGTTCTACTTCATAGTTGTCCGTTGTTTCGCATCAAGAACTCCCAGTTGACCCGAACGGTAGGACTGCTCGGCCCGGGAACCATCCAGGCAACCGGTTTCATTTTACCCCAAACCCGGTCCCAGGCCAAAAATCGTTGAATTAGTCAACGACCCATTGACCCGAGTGGTCAAACATTGACCCATTCAACAATTTTTTGCCGTTGTTTATTTTTTACTTTTTATTGTTAGAACGGGCCATCCATTTAAACTAGACGGTCGAACCGTCGACCTGAAAACCGGTGGCCATAACGGTTCCGTTTTTATGTCGTTTTTTCTAGATGTCAATAATTAGACGAAATAACTTTGTAACCATAGTCATGGGAAAAGGTGGACATTGCAAGGGATTCCAAAACCTTGAAAGATAAATCCAAAGTGAGCTTAAACACATAAACAAATTGGCGGTAAATCCACAAAACTGGAAAAACCAAGGAAAAATTAGAAAATTGAGTCCAAAGTTCCGCTTTGAAGCGGACCTAAACATACATGCAATCAAAGAAAGAGACAAAGTAGATCGTATTGTAAGAAAATAAAAAAATATTGCATAATAAAAGCCAAAAAAAAACAAAAGGGAATAAATAAAATGATGGTAAACCCTATATTGTTTTGGAGGATCTTGATGAAGAAAACCAAATACAAAAAACAAAAAACAAAGCAGAAAATGAAAAATAAAAGGAACATACCACACACACTCGAATAAAGCCCATAGTAGAAGAAACCTTTGAATAGTAAAAATCCAAAAGCATAAAAAACTAAGGTTATCAAACCACCGTTGACCCCGACGGACGGACATTTCACCTAGGAACCATTCAAGCAATCGGCTTTGTTTTATCCCAATCACGGTCCCTAACCAAAAAACTGTTGAATCAGTCAATGACCCATTGACCCAGGTGGTCAAATTGTCAACCCGTTGACCTGTTCAATGGTTTTTTGCCATTTTTTTTTAATTGGGAATTGTCCAAGTAGCCGATTCTGTTTTATCCCAATCCTAGTCCCTGGCCAAAAAATGTTGAATCGGTTAATAACCCATTGACCCAGGCGGTTAAACCATTGACACATTCAATGGTTTTTGTTTTTTTTTTTTTTTATTTTGTTGTCAAAATGGGTCATCCATTCGAACCGGATGTTTGAAACAGTGGC